CGGCGGAACAATCACTGCCGAAGTTGACCGAGGTGGCCCTCCCTGGCCCCGACGGGCCCGAGCTGCCCAGTCAACTCGTCAGCATTTGACTTGTGTGGGGCACTACCATGCACGTCTTACCCATGGCCAACTCACAGCACAAGGCCTCCGTGATGGCCTCGTGTAGAGCACGAGCTCCGCGCACCAGCCCGAGGATCACCTGTTTGAAAGGCCCTGTCGAGCTGAGGCCAACATGCCCAATGCGCACGTCGGACTGGACACTTGGCGACCCGGGGGGCCGCGTCGAAGGCCGACATGGCGAAGACACGGATGAGGCTGGTCGCGAAACTGCAGCCAACAACCAGCACCCTCCCGACGAAATACGGTCCTTCAACAGAATCCCCCGTCGCCAAACATCTGGCCGATGAATACGCACGATGGCCTAGCAAGAGTAAGCGGGAGACCGTGTCCCCTGCAAATCCCACCGAAAAATTGAACCCGACGTGCGCTCAGTGTGTCCTGGAGTGAAGACGACAGCTCGCCCCTCTCGGCACCGCTCTCAGAGCGGAGCGCTAGCCTCCAAACAACGTCGGCCGGGCCACGGTCGGCCCCCGCGGTCGTTAAACTTCGGGGGCGACCTGCTCCGCATCTTCGCGCCCGACCCCGGGCACGGCAAGACGCGGGCAGCACTCCGATCGGCCGAAGGGCTCCTGGAGGCTCGGGAAGGAGAGGCATCCGGACACGGGCCGGCTGAGTCGCAAGACGACCAGTTGCCTCCACCACACACATGACCAAACAAGAGGCCTGCAGAGCTGGCTCTCCTAAAGCAGAGAAGTGGTCGCAACGAAGCCCGTCGGTCGACGCGGCACTCTGGGGCTTATACTGTCTGGAGAAACTGCGAATGTCCTCGGGGGTGTGATGAGGGAGGAGGGAAGCAAGACGAAGGCATCGTGAATCCCCTGACCACCCCCATCCCCCCCCAGATCTTATAAAACTCATCCCCTACGGCGGCCAAGAGGTCATCGGCCATCGGGGTCCGCAGTGACGACTCCACGGGAGGAAAGAGTGGAGGAGGGGGGCCAATCCTCGGGGCCCCTCGACGCGGAGCGGGCACGACGGCCCCCCATAGCGAATGCCAGTTTTGACCCCGTCGCGCCCTGCCGACCCGGATGCACCAGCAGCCTGCGCCATAGCAGAAGAGCCAAAATCGCGACTTCCGTCGCCCGGCTCGCACAGCTAGCCCGGGAACTGCTCGAGGAGATTGGGGGCCAGAGTGCGGCACCCGCGCGCCAAGCCGGCGGCAGCTCGGAAGACAGGAATGAGCTCGCTATCCCTCGCTGGCACCACGGACTGGCCTGGGTAAACAACCCCATGCATGATGACGGCTGGGTTCTCTGAGCACTTGAGCCGGTCCTGTCCGCAGCACTTCAACGCCTGACTATGCGAGCGCGGCCAGAAGATAGGCGCGCCCTTGCAGTCGCGCCCTGTGTGCTTGATGACGGATCGCCAATGCATCTTGGGGGCCCTTACCTCTGGAGCCCACAAAAGCAGGAAGATCTGTACCGGAAATATGCGCGATGTCCTTCTCGGCCATGTTCGCCCAGAGAATGTTGGAAGCATCGAGGACCTCAGTAGCACCTAAGAAGTCATTGTCCTAGACAGCATCGCACGCAAGCTGGGCGGCCCACAGAGGCCTCTTCCAGACACCCTCTCGAGGCATGGGGCCCATAGGAGGAACCACTGGCAACGGAGGGGGCTCGCGGAAGGCAGAACCCGCCAGATTCACCAGAGAAGGATGGAACTGGAGCTGCACGAGGAAATGAGGGACAGTGCCAGCGCCAGCCTCTACCTCAATCGCTTGACCCTTGAGCAAGCGAACCAGAGACAACAGACAAGACGGACGCGGAAGGCTGGCCCACACTGGGGAAACATGTTTCCGAGGAAGGCGAAAAGTCCCGGCACGAGAGCTCCTGGGCAAAATCCGGCCCTGGCAAGACAGACGGGGCAAAGTTCCAATCTCCCCAAATCACGAATTCACAGAAAACGGTGGGCCAAAGCTCCCCCACCACCCCCAAGAGATATCCAGATTTTCATCCGACAGACCTTCCACGTGCACCATGCAGACGGAAGCCAAGCAGAAGGCCTCGCAGGCAAGAGCGTGGACCATCGTTGCCACCGCCCTGCCTGGACAAATATCCTTGCGTTTAGCTTCAAAAACCCGAAGCCGTCGCGGACAAAGATGGCGGTGTCCGAACTGACCCCGCCTCCGCATCCTAGAAACTCTGCGCACCAGGCTGACTTCCAGCCCATAGCTCGCGCAGATGTCGCAGCACCGAGCACAGCCTCGGGACCCATCAAACGGTGCTCTTGCACAAGGACAATGGACGCCGCAATGGTCTCGAGGCACTGCTTCAAGGATCCTGAAGTGTTAAGATTCGCTGCGAGAGCCGATATACCAGCATCAACAACGTCAAAACCTCCACGCCCAGAGCCCGCAGCGGCAGCAGCAGGGAGGGGATGAGAAAGAGAGGCTGGAATGTTGACGTTCCTGGGGTCCTAAACTGTGGGGCTGGGAAGTCTGTCCGCAAAAAAAAAACAAAAAAAACAAAAAACAAAAAAAAAAAAAAAAAAAAAAAAAAACTGGAATGTTAAAAAGCTGAAGTTCTCGAAAAGGACGCGCTCGAGCGACGCCCCGCGCGGAGCTCCCCACCCCCTCCCCCGAGGGGGGAGATCGCACAGACCGGGCCGCTGCCGCCCTGGCACGGACGTCGGCGGCAGGGCCGGCAGACCCGGCAGGCGGCGAGGCCTCAGCAGCACCAAGCACACCCTCACCGGCGGCCCCGAGAGTATACACCACCACCACGTCCACTCCTCCCTAGCCTTCTCGACCCCCTCCTCTTCCTCTCCTCTCTCCTGGGAGAGGGGGGGGGGGGTGAGGGAGGTGGTGGTGGTGGTGTGTATTCTTGAGCCCCCCACTCACCTGGCCCCTGGTGGTCACCTGGCCCCGCTCCCGCTTCGGGAGCCGGCTCCTCACCGCACCAGCGGAAAAGCCGAGCCCTCACTGCGTTTACGCTGTCCTCTTGGACAGGCGCGCGGCACGCAGCTCGCGGCTCCACCGTGGCGCCCCGCGCGGCGTGAACCGCATGCTTGAGGAGAGCCGGCGCCAGAGACGTACCAGCCTCGAACTTATCCCTGTCCCTAAGAGTGACACGCCAGAAGGCGATGACAATCTCAGGGATGCGCCCTCAAAAAATGAGGGGATCCCTCAGATTGGCATCGTGATGAGGAGATGCCCAGCATAGGGATTGGGATATGTTCCAGGCTTCCAGGCTGGTAAGAGACTGGGCACCATCGCGCAGGGCAGCTTTCCGTTTCTCGATCTCCTGCCTGCCACCGTCCGAGACCTCGAACTCGTCGGCGAAACCCTCAAGAAGATCGCAACCGATGGGCGGGCCGAAGTCGAACGTCCCCTCCATGATGCCCGCAAGCTGCACCGAAGGAGCGGCCGAGGACTGGACTGGACTGGAGGCAGACTCATCGAGCGTGAGGGCCTTGTAGCCGACGTCAAGTTTCGAGAGGAACTTCTTAGCCTCCGCCACCTTCTCTTGTTGAGCTACAACACCTTAGTGGAGTCGTAAAAAGCGGGTGAAGTTGTGCTCGAGGTTTGTGTTCAGCTTTCTGCACTACATGATGGCATCGCTGCACCCTCGGCTGAGGCGACACATGCGGCGGGGACGCAACAGATTCCATATGCTTGACGAGATGCGTGTACTGTTCAGCTCCGCACGAGTCTCCTGCTTTCTGAAGAGCAGCGAAAGATCGAGCTTGCCGAATGGAACGAATTATTGGGCACGGGCCCACTGGAAAGCGGAGGTTGTCCTCCTCCGCCTCCGTCAACGGACCATTTGCCATAACCGTTGCCCTTTCATGAGCCTTCTTGAGCCTCGAACGAGCTGCAGAGAAGAAGAGTCCGGGGCACTGCTCGAGACTCCCGGGGGGCGGGGACTGCCACATGCACTCACCGCGGCCACCGCCAAACTGACGACCCTGCACCCACAACTCGGACAGCGCACTGTGGATCCTCCACCCTTAGGGGAACAAAACGTGACCAAAACATAAAAACTCGGAGGTCCGCGCGGATTTCTCGGATCGGCGCTGGAGCCCCCTCCCTGGCGCGCGGAGCGCGCCAGGGGCGGCGCCGGAGGCGCCGCCAGGGGGCCACAGCGCCGATCCGAGAAATCCGCGCGGACCTCCGAGTTTTTATGTTTATGTCACTTTTTGTTCCCCTAACCCTGCCCCTAACGCACCGTGCGAGTAGTTCTGAGGGAACCCAGCGTAAGACTTCTCCTGCCTCTGAGCACAGTGCCACCCCCTCGGCGGCTCGCGACAGCGGATCACTGCGTGAAAGCCCGCAGGGCCTGGGCGGCTCGAGCGGGGTGCGTGCGGGAAGAGCATAAGCTCACTGCAGGCCACCTCGAGCCAGAGTGGTTTGATGCAAAATGGCTACGGACTCCTCCTCCTCCTCCTCATCATCAGCATCATCATCACCATCGTCACCATGATCGTCAGCATCATCCTCAGTATCATCATCAGGATCATCATCAGCAGCATCACCATCATCATCATCATCATCATCATCATCATCATCATTATCATCATCATCATCATCACCATCATAATCATCATCATCAGCATCATCATCATCGTCGTCGTCATCATCACTATCATCACGACTCTCCCCAGCCTGCAGAAACAAGGTGTCACACGTGACTGCATTCCCTGATCCCTCGAACAGTCGCCACCCAGAATGCAGGGCTGGCAAATCGAAGGGAGTTGCCGCAGGCAGCTGGATATTGCTGTTGGAGCATGTTGTTCCATCCCCCCATCTCCCTCCCTCTCCCCTCTCCTCCCCTCCATCATTCAGTCGTTGGCGGTGGGGTAGACGCGAAGTGTTTCGCGCCGCGCTGCCAGAGACAGCCCGTACTTGAAGTTGGTGATCGCAGAGATGTTGATGGCGTCCTTCAAAGTCCTCTTCTCCGCCTGGCCGACTCCAGAAACCCTGAGGACGCTGGCACTGAACTCATCATCATCATCATCATCATCATCATCATCATCATCATCATCATCATTATCATCATCATCAGGATCGGCATCGCCATCATCCTCACCACCACCCTCATATCATCCTCAGCAACAGCATCAGCATCAGCATCATCATAAGGATTACATCGTCATGATCGCCATTACACGCATAACCGTCAGCGACGTTGTCATGTGAATCAGCATCATCGGCACCGTGATCCTCATCGGCAATATCATCACCACCGTCACAGTCGTAGTCATCAACACTATCAACATCATCAGCATCACCATCATCATTATCAGTATCACTAGCATCACCAGCATCATCATCATTATCAGTATCATCATCATCCTCATCTTGATCACCATCATCACCACAATCATCATTCGCATCACCAACAACAGCATCATCATCATCCTCGGCATAATCATGGTCATACTCCTCACCATCATGGTCATACTCCTCACCATCATCATCAGGATCATCATCAGCAGCATCACCATCACCATCATCCTCATCATACTCAGCATCATCGTCATTATCATCATCGCCATCGTCATCTTAACCACCACCAGTCAGACAGCAACACCACGATCAACAGCACCATCACCGTCGTCATCATCAGCGGCATCATCGCTACCAGTCACTATCAGCAACAGCAACATCCTCATCATCATCGTTGCCATCGTCATCGTCGTCGTCATCACCATCACCTCCATCGCCGTCGTCATCTGAAAAATCGCCAACAACGTCATCGCCAGTATCATCAGCAACGGCGGAGACATCATCATCAACAGCTTTATCTTCAGCATCATCACCATCATCACGATACTCACCATGATCATCATAATGATCGCCAGCATAATCAGTGTCACCATCGACATCGTCATCGCAATCGGGATTGTCATCACCAGCAGCAAAATCATAATCCTCATCATCATCATCACCATCTGTATCATCATCGCCAACATCATCACCACCATCGCCATTCATCGCCATCAGTCGCCGACAGCCTCATCATCATCAGCATCACCATCATCATCATCGTCACCGCGTCGACATCGTCATCACCATGAAAATCATCATGAGCATCGTCGTCAGAGTCATTACCAGCATCGCTATCATCCGCATCATCAGCAGCAGCAGCAGCTTCATCAGCATCACCATCACAATCAACAACCTCATCCTCATAAACATCATGAGCGTCATCATCATGTTCGTAATCGTCATCGGCATTGGTATGGGCAACGCCATCATCCCCAGCATCGGCACCATTAACACCATCACCACCATCAGCATCATCATCATCGCAGGCATCATCATCGCCACCATCATGGTCATGAGCATCATCCGCATCATCAGAGTTAGCATCGCCATCGCCATAGACATCAGCACCATCAGCGTCAGCGCAAGCACCATAATCACCAGCAACCGCACTATCATCATCATTACCATCACCATCGTCATCGTCGTCACCATTGTCGTCAGAATGATCATCATCAGCGTCATCATCGCCACGAATTATGTTTGCCATCATCATCACTACCGTCAGGGTCAACATCAGAATCATGATCGCCATCGCCATCGTCTTCTGAATCATCATCAACATCATCAGCATCTGCGTTATCAGCAACAGCGTGAGCATGAACACCAGCATCTGGAACAGCATCTGCGCTATCAGCATCGTCAGCGTCAGCGTCAGCAATACTGGCAGCATCAGCAACAGCGTCATCATCAACATCGTAATCATCATGATCATCACCGTCATCACCGTCATTGCCATCGGCGTCGGCATCGACATCATCATCAGCATCTTCATCAACGACACTATCATCATCATCATCATCATCAGCATCATCATCATCATCATCATCAGCACCACCATCCTTCTCGCAACCATCCTCCTCGTTCCCATCATCAAGATCATCGCAATCAGCAGCATCATCATGATCGTCATCGTCATCGGCCATCAGCGTCAGCATCAGCATCACCATCATCATCAGTATCAACATCATTCTCGGAATAACCAGAATCACCATCATCATCGGCATCGCAATCGCCATCACCACAAGCACCATAATCATGATCTCCAGCCTCGGCATATTGCCAATCATCATCATCATCATCATCATCATCATCATCATCATCATCAGATTCATCACCATCGCCATCGTCAACAGCATAAGCATCATCACCATCATCATCATCATCATCATCATCATCATCATTATCATCACCCTGACCATCGTCATCCGAACCACCGTCAGCATCGTCATCATCGGCATGATCAGCAACAGCAACAGCTTCATCATCGTCAAGAACATCATGATGGTCATCGTCACCATCACCAGCATCATCATCGCCTTCATCATCAACATCGTCATCACCATCATCACCAGCATCAACATCATCATCGTTATCATCTGCATCATCATCATCGCCGACACCCTCAGCATCATCATCACCCTCACCAGCGTCATCAGCACCATCGATACCAACGTAATGCTGATAAACCCCGCCTCCATCAGCCATCAGCCATCAGCATCAACATCAGCATCATGGTCATCATCATCATCACCATCATCACCAAACCATCATTATCGTCATGATCGCCGTCGTCATCATCAGCATCATCAGCGTCGCCATCGTCACCAGTCAGCATCATCACCATTGGCATCATCCTCGCCATGATCATCAATATCGCAATCGTCATCGTCACCTGAATCATCCATCACATTGCCACAACAACAGCATTATCATCCTCAGCATCATCAATCAGCAGAATCGCAGACATGATCATGATGATCACCAGCATCATCATCAGCATCATCATCAGCATCGTCGTCGTCGCCGTTGTCGTCGTCGCCATCGCCATCAGCATCGGCATTTCAGGCATCCTCATCATCGTCATCACCACCACCACCATCACCACCATCGCAATCATCCCCATCATCATGGCCATGATCAGCATGATCGCCGTCATCAGCATCATTGTCATCATAATCGTCATCGCAATCAATCAACGTCAACATCCGCATCACCATCAGCATCATCATAACCGTTATCACCACCAGCATCATCATCAGCATTGCCATCACCGGAAGTATCAACATCAAAATCATCATCAGCATTACCACCAGCCTCAGCGTCGTCATCGTTAACAAACATCATCACAATCAGCAGCAGCAGCACCACCGTCATCACAGTCATCAGCAACAGCGTAATCATTACCATCGCCCCCCTCATCGTCATCTGAATCATCATCAGCATCTTCATGACCAGCATCACCAACAACATCAACAGCCGCATCATCAACATCGTCAACATTGTTAACAGCATTATCGCCATCAGCAAAAACATCACCAGCATGATCATCATCAGTATCGCCGTCGATACCGACACCGTCATCATCCTCAACGTCGTCATCAACATCATCAGCATCGCCATCAGCGGAATCAGCATCATCATCACCATCAGCATCATCATGATCATCGTCAGCAGCAGCATGATCAGAATCATCATGGTCGCCACATTCATTGTTATCTGAATCATCATCCGCATCGTCATACCCCGCATCATCATCAACTGCAGGAGCAGCATCAGCATCAGCATCGTAGATAGCATCACCTGCCTCATCATCATGATCAGCATCAACAACATCAGAATCATCACCATCGGCATTAGCACCGTCGTCATCCTCATCATCGTCATCATCATTGCCATCGTCCCCATCAGAATGACCACCATCATGGTCATCAGCATCGTCATCGTCATCATCACCGTAAACGCGGTAATCACCAGCCATCAGCATCAGCATAATCAGCATCAGAATCAGCATCAGCATCACCAATGTCGTCGTCATCATCCTCACCATCAGCATCGCCGTGGTCACTACTCATCATCGCCATAATCAGGACCGTCAACGTCATCAACCGCATCAGCATCGCCATCGTCGTAGCCTTCTCAAGCAACATCAGCATCGTCATCGCCCGCAGCATCAGAAACATCAATAGCACCGTCATAGGCATCAACATCACCATTTCGACAGCATCATTACGATCAGCATCATCATCATCAACATCGTCGTGATCGCCATCGACACGGGCACCGTCATCGTCCTCAGCATCATCACCAATACCATTATCGCCATGATCAGAATCACCACCTTCATAATAATCGCACCATCCTCAGCATCGGCATCAGCATCCTACGCATTATCACCATCATAACCGTAAAGGGAAACGACATCATCATCATCATCATCAACGTCGGCATCGCCATCATCATCATCATCAGCATCATCATCACCGTCATCATCACCACAGCCATCTACATCATTACCATCATCATAGTCATCATCCTCATCGTAATCATCATCGTCATCAGCATCAAGGGCGTTATCATCATCATCGTCACCAGCAGCACATTCATCACCCTCATCATCGTCATCGCCATCAACATCGTAATCATCATCATCATCATCAGAATCGTTATCGTCATCATCACCATCATCATCAGCGTCATCAGCACCATAATCGGCAGCAGCAAATCCAAACCAGCGACACCAACATCATCAACCTCGCGATCATCATCCCCGTTGCCATCATCATCGCAATCATCAATTTCGCTCTAACCCTCATCATCGTGATATGCAGCATCATCGTCATGGTCAGCAACCGCATTATCGCAACCTTGATCAGCACCATCTCATCATACCGATTGTCATCAGCATCACCGTCGTCATCATCAACATCATCAGCATCATCACTATTATCATGCTGATTAGCATCATCATCGCAATCAGCATCGCCATCATCGTCATCATCACCATCATCAGCATCACAACCATCATCATCGCCATCATCATCCTCATCGTCATCAGCAACATCAGAGCCAATATCATCATAATCGTTACCAGCATCATCATCACCATCCTCAGCGACATGAGCATCATCAC